GCAGCAGGACGCACACATGAAGACTACACAGAATAACACCTGTACAGTGTGGAAACAAGAACTAGCCGCTCCAGCACTTTAGACATAGGGCGAGTAACCCTAACAATTTTAAATTCTAAATTTAAAATTTAGAGAAAAATTCTAAATTTGAAATTTAGAAAAAATTTTAAAGGATTTTAAAATCATAACTAAAGATTTTATAGTGCTACTACAGGAAAATTTGACGTGTGCAATATAATCTACATACCAGACACATATCAACGAGGTAGATGTTGATAATACGAAAAAAATAACAATGTGTTTTTTAAATGTTAAATTTTAGACTGGGTTTCAGTGTGGCAGCAACGTTAAGAGTATACACCTGATGATGGCCGATAGAGGCCGAAACATGTAGTGTAGAAGAGAACAAGATCAAAGACATATAATATATATTGTTTGCACTTGGGACAGAGTTTGTATCATTTATCAAGAAGAAGAGTAATTGACCAATATTGGTCTAATTTTAACTCGTTCAAGTTATCCTATCTATTTGAATTCAATTGAAACCAAAGTAGGTATATGAAAACAATATTAAGGATAATGCAAAATTGAAATACGTTTGTATGGCGAATAAAATTATCGCCTTATGAAAACCAGGACAAAATTTATATAATTTACGACATTTAAATCTGTAACTAAAGACCTGCATTGGAAACAACAATACGTTCCCACAATTGTAAACATTGGCCAATGTAAGGGGAATAGAAAAGAAAGTTGCCTGATGATGACCAGAAACAGCGGCCGAAACATTTCCTATTGTAAAAACCGCATAATTATCTTAGAATTACACATAAGTACATCGTGAGACTCAAATTGAATAAAATATTCTCTACAAAATATGACTGTATAATATAATATTGCTATTAAATATTCGGACACTCACTTCCAACTAGTACCGGGATTAAGAAAAAGTGGATCTATTCATCCACTCCCCCTTACGCCTTCATGGCATAGTGCTTATTTAAGCACAGGGGCAAATTTACCTGTTATTAAATATTCGGATGCTCAAACAACAGTGAAGACGTAAGTTTTGAGGTTTTCACGGCGATGACTATGAAGAAAGTTGTCTTCTGGGTTTAGGCGCCGTGTATTCTTCGTTTTAGCCGACGTTTCGGAGGAACGTATCGCCTCAATCTTCAGAGCTGTTGAATGGCTTGGAATGCAGAACTTCTCTCTGCATTCCAAGCCATTCA